CTCGGAGACCCCTCCGAGCACGTGGGTATGGGAGGCAGGCGGTGACTTGCTCGCTCGGAAACCACCTCCGAGCATATGCGTATGGGAGGCAGGCAGTGGCTTGCTCGCTTGGAGACCATCTCCAAGTGAGCAAGCCACCACCTCCCTGCCCGCGCAGCAAGCGCGCATGTGAGCAGGAAACGGTGGCGCAGGCTGGATGGAAGGCCATGGCGGGCCAGATCCGTCCCGCAGACCATAGTTTGAGGACCCATGCTGTATATAGTCCAACTGAAGAATGTCAAAGCCCCAGGATATGATGGTATTCCACCAGAACTCCTGAAAGAAAACAAGGACTGGTGGGCCTCTTTCCTGGCTCCCCCTTTTACATACATCAATGATACAGGTCATATCCCAAGCTCTTGGAGGTTGGCTATGGAGGTTCCCTTTCACAAAAAGGTTAGGAGGGAGGACCCATTGAACAATTAACCATGGACCTATAGGCCAATTAACTTGCTGAACATCATAAGTAAGTTATATGCGAGGCATTTGCTATACAAACTCTTAGACTGGCTAGGGCAAGAGACTATCTTAGAGGCAGGCTTCAGGCCAGGGAGATTTACACTAGATCAGTGTTTGATTACACATTTAATATCTCAATATGTTATTGAGAAATACTCATCTAAGGGAATAACCTCTCTTTATGTGGCCTTTGTGAATTACAAATCTGCATTTGATTCAGTATCTAGAGTGAGACTTCTGGGGCAAATTACCCATTTCCTCCATCAATAGAAGGCTGTTATGCCTTATATGGGTCCTACATGAGCAAATGTTAAATGTAGCAGGCTAGGGCATCTTACTGAACCCATTCCAACTTTTGGAGGTGTTAGGCAAGGGTGCATGTGAGCACCTGCATTATTTATTTTTTATAAAGCTGGGTAAATTCACCTGCATTTCATCTGCCCAAACTTGCTAAAATGACTCTATCAGTCTTATTATATGCTAATGACACAGTGCTGCTTTGGCCCAGCACTCCTGTTGGGCTGAGGACTCTGGGGAAACTCTCTCAATGCTGTGAAAATGAGTCCCTTAAAATCAACCATCAGAAAACTAAGATAGCTGCTTTTGTGCACAGGCCTAAGATCTTGTCTTGGTTGATTAATGGCCAACAAATTGGACAAACTAATAGTTTTAAATATTTGGGGGTAGTCCTGCAGGCCTCGGGCTCCAGGCTCCAACACAGTAATTATGCTGCAGACAAAGGAGAAAGATCTGCAAATAGCATTGCAAAATTCCATCAAGCACAAGGGTTTTCGTCCCTGAAGCTCATAAACATTATAAAGCTAAGACAATGGACCAATTGCTTTATGGTTCCCTTATGGGACCACCCAGCTTGTGCTTTGCTCCACAGGAAAGAGTCAGACAAGTTCCTAAAAATGATTTTGTAGGTTCCTTCCTAGGTGTGCATCAAATGCTAGGGTAGGACTAGAAACATTAAATACTCTGCAGAACTATTTGACATCATTGGAAGCAAAAGGGCTTGGAAGGGCTTTTACTCTTGCCAGGTGCTTTGCTCTTTCTTCCACAGTTCTTGGAGGCAAGTACAAGAACATCCCCTTTGATGAAAAACTCAGGGTAAGACAATCGATTATTTAGTTATAAATCTATACATTTTATACATTTCAACAAAGGTTACAGTGGTATTACCATTATGTTTACATGTTTGTGGCACTGTGTGTTTCAGTTATGCGGCCTCGGTTATCTCAAGTTTTAGTGTCTGCTACTTGCCTATGTCTTTTAATACACTTTAAATTGTTATTTTAATTGGGGTAATAGAAAAGCAATGTTTAATCTGTTTGCTGGCACAAATTGGCTTATGTTTGTCTATGACTTTAATAAATACATAACAATAATATCTAAGAAAGCTGAGATTAATAAAATAGAGAGGATTTTTAATAATTCAAAATATTAAAGTCTTGATGACAAATTTAGCAGTAGCAGTAAGATTAATAATAGCAAAGAACTGGAAAGTAAAAGATGACTATCAAAAAATGATTGGTTTAAGTCTGGAATTGTCGTGCCTTACGGCTTGACAGAGGCATTGGCATGTGAGAGAGGGCCAGAAACTCACAGTGAGAGTCAGGCATTGGAACAAGGGGATTTATACTTGGTGCCCAGGGCCCAAACAGCCCCCCTGCAGCCCGACTCTGAGGCTTCTGAGCTAGTAGCCTCCCCACACCCTAGCTCTGAGTTGAGCAGGGTGCAGCTTCCCTTCCTCTAGACTCTGAGGTGTTTGAACAAGTTACCCCGCCCCCCCACCACCTCCTGACTCTGAAGCTGCTGGGCAGAGTCCTGGAGAACAGGAAGACGTAACAGGAAATTTATGGAACACCCAGCTCCGGTGGAGATTGCAGCGGTTAGACAATTGGGACGGCAGGGGAGAAGTTTGTCCCACTCACGAACAGAAAGACGTGAGAGGAGATTGAGGTCCACGTGACCTTCCCCTCAGAGTTCAGAAAGGAGGGGGCAACTGAGCTGCAAGGAGCTCATCATCAGAGCTTATCTGTTGCATCGTTAATCTTGTAGCAAATAGCAATAAAAGTTTTTAGTTTTATTGCCGACTGCTGTGTGAGTTAATTGGAGACGTGAGTTATGGCCTCACAACAGGAATATAGCTATTAATGATACATTAACTTGCAATATTAAGTTGAAAAAAGCCTTCATAAGGAAAAATAATTCTGAAAGTATTTGGAGACTATATATTCAGTATGTTTTAATAAAGTGAAAGGGGTGTGAATGTGGGGTAGTGAGAATCAAGCAACCTGAACAAATGATAAGTAACATGCATCTGGGACCTGGTGGAAGGTAGCACTGTTATTATTGTATTTAGTTATGATCATCATTATTGATCATTATTAATTTTATTATTTATATTTCTTTACATTTGTGTAAACTATGAGTTTTGTTTTATTTTTAAATAAATAAATTTACAGAAATGTAAAAAAAAGAAAATATCTGGACGAAGAGGATATTAAAATATGTCAATAAGAATAAAGGGAAAATGTAAAATTGTAAGGAAGTGATACCCAACTCTGGTGAAAATTAACTGTATAGATAATAAATACTCCAATTTATGTTGGAGATGTGGTCAGGAAGTGGGTACATATTTCCACATGTGATGGTATTGCAAATATATGATGACATTTTGGAAAGAGGGTTTTAAAGAGTGTAATAAAATATTACCTCTAAATATAGATATATGCCCTGAGGTTTCACTACTTTCAATATTTGATAAGAAACAAAGGGGCTGGAATAATGAACAATTAGTAACAAATTTAATAACTGCAGCAAGAATAGTTAAGAATTGGAAAGTAAAATATGATTACCAATTGTGTGATTGGTATAGAGAAGTTTGAAATATAGCTATTAAGAACAATAACATGTAATACTAAAGTGAGAAAAGGACATGTAAAGAAAAATACGTTTAATATTTGGGGTGTATTTATTATGTTTTTAAAAAGGGAAAGGACTTGAGCTGACAAAGGAATCATTACAGTTTTGAAAAGGGGTAATGTCCTGACATGTTTGAATGTTTCTTATTTGTAACATGTATCATTGGTCCTGGAAGTGGGGGGCACTGTATTGTAAGTATTATTTTAATTGTATGTTTAATTTTATATGTTTTTGTCTTAAATGTAGTGTGATTTTGGTTATATTTTAGACTGAAATTTAAAAAACAAGTAAAAACACATGTGTTGCAAGAGTGTATAAAAATCAAGGGCTTGGGAAAGAGTCACTTTTCCCACCCTCCTGTGCAAGCTACACGCAAACTCTACTGTTGCAGGAATTCCCCACCCTCTGTTAGTCTCTGTTATTTCCTTCTCTCTTTAGAAATGCAGAGTAAGATTGCGATGCAATAGGAATATTTGCTCTTTGGACAACATTATGTTAAAAGCTTGCACCTGCTCTATATTTTTCTAATGAAACTTTCTAAGTGCACTGTGTGTTTGTGTGAATGCAAAACCAGGGCTTGTTCTCTTTGGACTTATGTGTTCAACCCCAGCAAAAGATCCCAAACTGGAGCCAATCTGGTGAGCATTGCTCCCTAAGATTACCTGGCATAACACAGTCCTAGCTCACAGCATACTGTGTGTTTTCTCCTGTTCTTTCCTCTGTAGGTATCCCAGAAGACTCTGTGGCAGGACTGACTTGTCTCTCCTTGCATTTGGGAGTCCTTTTGCACTTCCTATGCTTCCCCACCCTCCCCACTTTCCCCTGGTGATCATGAAAAGCAACCCTGATCTGACAGTTAATTACGACTCCATCCAAGTGCCAAAAGAGCATTTTGCAGGGTGTGTCACTGGTTCAGCAACCCTTTTAACATATTTTAGTGCAAGAAATTTGTACAAATGGTTTCAATTTTTAAATCAATGTTTAGTTGTACTTGCACAAATGAGCATTCAAAGTCCTGGGGGACCCCTGCTGTCAAAGTGTAGCGGACACTTCCCACAGACATGCACCTAGAAAGCAATGAAGAATGTTACCTTTCACTTTACCTTCTTTTCACAGCTGTCAAAAACCAGTGTGAGGTAAGAGCACATAAAAAAAGAAGATGTAGAAGGGGCAGAGGAAAATGTTGCAAAATAGGTTCTACAACTTTACCACTGCTTCTACCAGTAAAAAATTTAATGCTGCTAGATTGTAGCATCCGGCACTTTCAATCGGAAGTGCACGCAATGAAAACAGCCACAACAGCTGTTTGGAAACAAGCTTAATATTAAGGCCAAAACAACATCATCACAATGGCTCTGGTGGGGATGGGCTGTTAAGTAGCTTGCACAGAGCCTACTTTTCCAAACTTGAAAATCATAGTCTGAGGCCCTCCTCCAGGTATTCCTATCAGTGAAGCAAGGCAAGTACCTACAAAAGAGAGGGACTTGTCAGTGATGGCACCTTATTTATGGAATACTTTCCTCAAAGAAGCTTGCCTAGCAAATCCTACAGCACCCCAGGGCACCCATAGATTTCCTGAGATACCCTATGTTTATTTTGAATGAATGCAGTTTACTGGAACAACAGAGTAATTTATACAAGAATCTGAGAACAGAAAGTTTGTCATTTCAAATTTAAACAGGACACTGTCATGAATTATATTATGTACATGCACATCTGTGCATTAAACAGTTCTTTTCACTATGATCCATTCATTTTTAGTAGTCTCTTGACAGAGTTCTTATATTCAGAAAGGTTCTTCTCTGTTTCGCCTTCATTTTTCAGTATAACCACTGACTTTCTGTAGGCGAGAATTACATCTGAGGCAAGAAGCTCATCTCTATTGGCTTCTTTAGCATTTTCAGCTGCTCCAATGCGAAGTAGTGTATCCAAAGCATTCTTCTCAGAAGCACTGTTCTCCCAGAGATATTCCTCCATGTCGGCCTCAGTCTTTTCTTTTTCCCACTGTTCTGTTTTCTGAAAGTAAACAATTCAGAGAAAAAGTTGAAGGGAAAGTCCCTTACCTGGTCTAGGCTAGTGGTTTTCAAACCCTAACTTTCCTTAGAAGCCTCACTCAGGTTCCTCATTAAGAATGTCAGTAACTATCAACAAGCCTTCTTGAATGACAGATTCATTAACACTACCAATTTTATCCTGCAGCATGCAGTCTTTTCATTTCATGCAGAGAAGCAGTGAGGTCCAAAATGCCTGGTCAATACTCCGTATGAACTGAGAAGAAATATGTAAGGTTTTTGTTTTAGTTTAGCTATCACTCAATAATGTCTGTAATAATTTCTGAAAATGCAAATTTAAACCTGTGCAAACTTAGCAAAATGCACATTTTTAAAAGGGAGAATTTTTATGTTTTATTCAATGTGCACTTTTGATAAACATGTATTTTCCTATTTGAATAAACAAAACAAAATACGGGTTACAAACAGAAATGGGAGCAAGCCAAATCAAGCTCTGAACTGAAGTTCAGAGAGTTTTGGTGAGCTCAAGCATCCCTGCTTCTCTCATCCTACAACTGAGTGTGTTCCCCAGAATTCTTTAAAATTTGCAGGGTTCCTGTGACAGAGACCTTGTGGTTCCTTAATAGAAAAGCCAAGATGTAAATATTTTCTGAAGTTCAAAAACTTTAGTTTGTCTAAGGACAAACTAAAGTGTACACTCACTAGATACAACAGCCACTCAAACCAAATGCATATGCTTAAGTCTAAGTTGTCTGAACGTTGGGACAAGTTCATACAGGTATACCTTGCAAATATTGTGGATTCAGTTCCAGACCACTACAATAAAGTGAATATCATAATAAAGCAAATTACACTTCTTTTATTTCCCAGTGCATAGAAAAGTTATGTTTAAACTATACTGTAGTCTATAAAGTGTCCAATAGCATTATGTCTAAAAGCTTGCCACTTATATGGATTTGGTACAACAGTAACATCAAAGATCACTCCTAACAGATCACTATAACAAACGTAATAATAATGAAAAAGTTTGAAATATTGAGAGAATTACCAAAATGTGACATGCAGACACAAAGTAAGCAAATGCTGTTGGAAAAATGGTGCTGATAGACTTGCTTGACACAGGGTTGCCACAAGCCTTCAAATTGTAAAAAAATATGTAATATCTATGAAGCAACATAAAGTGAAGCACGCTAAAACAAGGTATGCTGGTATAAAGTTGCTAAATATGTTTGTGGAGCATTTTTTTCTCCATTATGAAGCAGAAAACATGGGAGGGGCTAGGATGGTAACATTAAGACTTCAATTGTTTATACTCATCTCACTGGATCAATTTCATTTGTTGATGACCCTGTCTGAAACTGTAATTGATCACCTTTTAATGAGTATACTGATCATGCATTAGTTAATTTAAATGTTATTTTAATTAGAATCCATCATGTTCAATTGGTTGATAATAAATAAATAATAAAAGCAGAGTGAATCTATTCTACACTTAATCCTGAATTCCACAAGACAAGCTCAAAATACTCCTGAAAGAAGCAAAGTCTGGACCTATGGTAAGTCTTCAGTGGAGAGGGATCTCCATGCCTTTACTTATGATCTGATTCACTCTGGTACTAGGAGAACATTTGTAATAACTAGGAGGAGGCAGTCTAAAGTATATTAAACTCAATACTTTTTTTACTCATTTACATTTTAGCCAGATCCAAAACTGTCCCAGAACTAGGTATAATCTCAGCACCACAATAGACCCCTAACTTATAACCTAAACCTTTCATTGATTACTAGTTAGCTTGCACCTCTACTTTCAACCTCAAAACTGTTTTAGGGAACCAATATTTGCACTTTGTATATGCCTCAGCTTGGTACAGTGCTTACATACAAAAAGCCTTTTTTGATACTTGTATATCAGTATGCAATTCCATAAGACAAATAAGGTGCTACTCCAAAACACTTCCATTGTTCTATACTCATCTATCTTTAAATAAAAACAGGGCAGATTTGTAGTAACCTCTAAAGAGGAAAACTGTTTTAACCACTAGGTGGCAGCAAGCCTTTAGCATTTTAAGTTTGGGCTTCTAGAGAAATTCCATGCGGTAGTATGCATCCAAGAATCATCATCCATGGGATACTTTACATTCAAGCAAGAAGTTACAAAGACAGAAAAATGAGATGCTGTTAATTTTGTCAGATACCCAACGTTCAAATTCCTGCTATGAAGCTCAACAGATGGCTTTGCACATCTCACAGGAGCTTAAGATGGAGGCAGCTCAGTGTACCATCACACTGAACTCCTTGGTAGATGGAATGAAAGAAAAATGTGACAAGGACAGTGGCAAGGATAAAAGCACTCCATCTTCTCAGATGCCCAAATTCTGCAACAGAATGTCCACGCCTGCTAATAACATTTTGCCAGGAGGGAGTAGCTAGCAGCATTCAGGGGGCAATCACATACCTGGGGAATGGGTAGGAGTTGCAGGTGCCTCAAAGGCCACCAGCCAGCAACTGTTTCTTGAAGAGCCCTTCATGTAAAAAACTGATTTGAGGCTTGCAGCCACTCTTGAGCAAGGTACTTCCACAGGTGGTGGTAACTTTCAGAATGCTTGAGTGAAACTTATCTATAGACCAATTTTGGGGGTGGGGGAGAGGTGTTGGGTGTGAAAATGCCTTTATTATTGACTTTTGCTGGGCCAGAGAGTACGTGACCCTCATTGGTTCCTCCAGATTGCCTCCGAAATCATTTAACTATGGCATCCATCTATACTCCTTTTCTGGGTTAGGAAGTGGAGGCATCTTATGCAATCCCACTCCTATCTTGGCAAAAGAATGTCAGAGTGGGTACCTGCTAGAGGATGAGAGGTTTTCTGTCCCTACTGACTGCACCACACAGATCACCCCAGATTTTTTTTTAGGATGGGGAAAAAATCCATGTGATATTGTCCTTATCTCCAGATGCCATTTTGGTAACTTTGTTCAGATTCTGGGGTCCACAATGCAGAAAGGAAGGCAGAGGCAACATGTGTTGCACTCTTATTTCAACAGTGTGTTGCTCAAGGTGTGTATCCTATTTCATGGCATTTTTGCTATTTGGTTCCACAAGGTATAAGAGCAGCCCTGGTGGATCAGACCAAAGGTTGCTCTAGGCCAGCTTCCTATTTCCCACAGTAGCAATTAAGAGGCCCATGAAAAGTTAAAATGAGGTCATAACCGCTATAACCCTAATTTTTCCCACTGCAATTTAATATCTGCATGAAATTGCTAAGTGAGGTCATTCAGAGGTTTGGAACAAAGTATCCAATTCTGTTTCTCCATTTCATTTAACTCAGATGAGGCCATGGATAGAACTGGTGCCTGGAATCTCTAACAGACTGGATGGAAGCCAATTAACAGAAGTTCAATTCAAACAAAATGCAGGTACTTGTACCAATAAAGGTGATCTGGAGTTAATTTTCAGTCTGCTTCAGATGAAGCTGCACTTCCTCTAAAAGATCAGGCCTGAAGCTTTCAGATCTTCCCTTAATGAACATGGGCAAGTGGTATACATAGTCTCAAGGTCTTACACTAGTTCCAGCCAGAACAATGACTTTTTTGGGAAAAATTAGCTTTTACATAGTTATCCATACTTTTGATCATAACCTGTGTTATGTTGTGTATGTGGGTGCATTTGAATGTTATACATGTTATGTTATATTGAAAGTTATACATACTGTGTTATGTTGTATATGTGGGTGCCTTTGAATACTGCTCAAATACTTGACACTGGTTCCAGATGCATCTTGTAAAGTGTTCATATTTGCATAAAGAGGCCAGAATCTGGAACATTTTAGGAGAACTTCCAGTTCCTACAGAAATCTGCCTGAACATTAAGAATCTGCAAGCCCTGTCCTGGATGCCTCCACCTTCAGAAGCAAGACAGCTGCCTCCTCAAGACAAAGTCTCTTTTGTTGTGATCTTAACACTGGAAGACCCTCTTCAGCTATAATTGACAGTGTTTGAACAAGTATGGGTTCAGTGACAATTAAAGCAGTTGTAATTATTTTGTTAATCTGAGAAAACAACAATTTAAAAAAAAACTCAAGCACTGATTGCCATGCAGAAACACATTTTCTCATATTAACCATGTGAACAATAGTTTTTAACACAATGAGGGTAGAATTCAGAAATGACTACAGATATATAGGATGGACATAACATAGTAAAGGAAGCATGGCTCTATAAATTGTTTCTGGAACTGGAAAACCTTACCGCAAGAACTATTTAGCATAGGATCTATATCTGGTCACTTCTGATCCAGGAACACCATTTCAACTTTTAAAAGTAATCCACTTGAAGTGGCAGGTGTGAACATTTGAATAGAAGTTGTGTGAAAAATTATGAAAAAAGTCAGCATCCATACTATGTTTCATAATGCCTGTTATTTTCACTTAATTATAGTCAATATTCTATAAAGTTCCCTTATACTGCCAAGAATATAAAAAGTCATTTTTAGGCTACGCATACTTCTGCAAGAACAATATCAAAATGATGGTGTCACACATTTCAGAACTAAATGCAAGAGACTGGTAACAAGCTAAAAATGTTTGAGTCTGGTATCATACATCCTTTCCTTCCTACTTACTGAAACTACTGAATAGTCAACTGAATACCTCCAAAGTATTGTCTGTGTGTATTCAACTCCTTATCTACTATAATACATTGGCTAAGATACTGAGTTGTGAATTGGGAAGTCAGCTCCTGTTCAGATTTCCCCCCTTGCCCTTCACTTGTGTGGCCTTAGACAAGTAGGCCTGCTTAACCAAGCAGCAAGGATTATTGAGTTCAGGATCACATGAAATTATGTCACTTTATTCTAAGAGCCCTATGATGCAAGTTAGGCAATTGCTTAATTGTCACCTCTGTTTAGGTTGTATGACTTCAGCCTTTACATGACTGAACACTCTTTTGAAAAGGCTTTCTCCCCATATAAAATTAGCATGTTATGAGGAAATGTTCCAGCTAATCTTTTATCCAATGCCTAGTTTTTAATAGTATCCTTTATGTTTTCCTCCACAGGTTAGATTGCAACTTTGATGAGGAAGTTAATTAAGCCAGATCAGGAAAATTGCAGCGGTAAGGGTTAATTTCTTTTTCAGCACTACAGCTTTGAACTGATTTCTGTACCTCACCACCCAGTGTTTTCGATCTTAAAAAAAAAACCAAACAAAACCACAGATATCCTACAGTCTCGACCCTAATTTACCCTAAGGTCACACAGTGAGTTTCATAGCAAATCAAGGATTTGAACCCCAACCTTTCTGCTCCTATCACTGTCTACTATAACATGCTTGCTCTCCAGTTATGTCATTGGTGTATGTACAAAGGGATGATTCTCTACTATCCCCACATATTTAAATTTCAGATTTTAAGAAATATTTAAAGTTGCCAAAAATGAGCTAAATTAGCACCATTCTGAGGGATCACCTTTGATCATGGAAAAAAAAACCCTGTGTTGCAGCAGGCCATGAATTTTTCATTGAAATCAAAGACAATCACAACTGATGAGGTCATTAAGTATTCATGTGGAAGTTGAAAGGTAATAAAAGGGCAAGAGACCTGTGTATTCAATACACACTAAACACTCACACAAGCAATATCATATGGCCAAATCTTCCATCACTAAGAAATGCTAGAGCCAAAGACAGATGTGCTCATCTGGAATTAATAAGCCCAAGTGTTGAACTCCAGCCTACATAAAATCAAAAGCAGATACATATTTGTAGTAGAAAAAATTCACTTTTATCTATTCCTATAGATGCACAGGAATTAAGAAATGTTTAATGTTTTACAAGCACTTAGGATTTAGATACTGCTTCTGAGTGTTCTAAGTGCTAGCTATAGGACTGGCAAAGTAGGCTAGTAAAGTAGGGGATTGACACAAAAGGATAGTTGTCTAACACAACCAATATGAGAGGTGAGGAATGTAAACTTGGTTCTTCCAGCTCACTCTTAGCAAGTATATGATCCCCTGCACTAGATTTATAGCTTGTCACCTGCAAAAGATGGGTAAAAATCTTTTTTACCCAACAGAGTAAAAATTCCTTGTTTTCATTCAACAGGAAGACCTTTTGAAGGACTCAGTAGTTTCACATTCTAAATTTCAGCCACATACAGTGGTACCTTGGCTCAGTCCACAACCAAATCGGGTCGCAAACAAAAATTTCATAAAAATTTTGACTCAGGTCGCGAATTCCACATTGGATGGCAACCGTGACTGTGGCCAACTCTCTCCCCCTCCTCGAGTGGGGAGATGGCCTCGATCGTGCTGGGGGTGGGGGAGAGATGGCTGAGATCGCACTTTCTTTCCTGCATGAGCGCACCCATGATTGCGCCCGACTTTCCTTCACCAGCACAGCCATGATCTCGGCCATCTCCCCTCCCGCCAGCACAATCGTGTCTGTCTCCCCACCCCACACGCCCGCATTTGTGCCCATCTCCCCCTGCCCCACGTGCTGGGATGATGGGCATGTGCAAGGATGATGGGTGTGATTGCAGTCATGCTGGGGGGGAGGGGGAGATGGCTGCGAACTTTGTTATTCTTTGTCACTTTGCTTCTTCACATTTTTCTGATTAAAAAAATAGTTACACAACGAATTAACCTCATTTACATTGAACCTTATGGGGAAATTTAACTTGCCTCACGACCAATTTGGGTCACGACCAGAGTCCTGGAACGGATTAAGTTCATGAGCCAAGGTATCACTGTATATCTGAATTGATCACTTCACTTACACTATAGACATACATGCTTTCTGCTCATAGGGTGGAATCCAATAAAGATTTCTGGTTCCTTTATTGGACTCCAATAAAGGTTTTCCATTGGTAAAGCTGCTGTAGTCAGAAGAAATGGAAGGGAGTGATCCCCTTTTCCACCCTTGAGTGCCTTCAAAATCTCCAAGGTGTTGGGCCACCTGGGTGGAGAACAGGTGGAAAATTCCAATCCTGGAGCAGAACACTGAATTCTACTCAATAGTATTTAAAAAAAAGAAAGATTTGTGAAAAGCAGCAGCCTTGATCTACAGTACAAGTCTATTAGTACACACCGTCCACAATTCTTTCTCCATCAATGTAATTAAGCCAAATGAATGATAGCCAGTGTGGTGCAGTGGTTAGAGTTTTGGTTTGGAGACTCTGGAAAGCTTTATGGGCCACTATAGAAATGAAATTAATAACAGTAGTATAATATTAATCCCCATATGGCCATGGTTGACCTTGGGTCAGTCACAGTCTCTCAGTCCAACCTACTTTAAAAGGTTGTTGCTGCAGAGATAAAATGGAGCTATATAAGCTGTCTTGGGTTCTTCACAAGATGAAAAAAGGTGGGATACTAATGCAATGTAATGATAATGAAAATAGCTTGTAAGCAACATTTAAGCAAACACATGTTACACAATGTAATCACATTTGGTTGTCGTAATAGCCATGCATAGATTTTTACCCATGATTCATGGAACAAAACTGTCAGAAGGTACATTCCATAGTCATAGTTTTGCCTCCTTAAAGGACACCTGCAAGACAAGAAAAACTAAGTCTACAGTACGTTTTCCAACAGTGCACATTTCATTTACATTGCAAATGGGCTTTGGCAATTCTTTGACCTTCAAACACAATCTTATTACAGTTGTACACATTTATTTGCATTTTACACCAAAAGAAAGGAAGACTAATTAGAAGCCCCACAGTCTTTGCCATATCAATATCCAAGAGCCAATATAACTGAACACAATTCTAAGTCCTATATGTAGTTGAGTAAGACAGAAACAGATATTACAGTTAAGGTATTGTCAACTTTAGGTAGGGCCCACTCTAGACAATTCTCTCATGTTACGATACCTGTCTGTTGTAATGGTAAGGGTATCTATGCCCTTGCAGTACCTCTCTCCTACAAGTTTAATGAGTTTCTTCTTTGCATGGTCATCCAAGTTGAGGCTTGAAAGCTTAACCTGGGAAGAAATCAGTCTCTTAGAAAGTCTGATAACAAGTTCAGTTGCTAGTATAGAAATTAAGTCTTTATCTTCAGAAGGTCAGAGTTACTGCATATTAAGCATGAAACTTCTTATACAATCATATTAAGTAAACCCACTGAATAGGAGTCTTCTTTAGGAAGAGAGCACAGGAGGCATTTAATGGTAGAAGATGGAGGGCAGATAGACACGTTCAGACTAGTCAAAGCAAGCTGAGCCAGGAGGAAATCTGCAATTGCTCATGGATCTGGAACAAGGATATTGTCATTTGCATACTTTTTTACATATTTCCATTCACTCTGGCTTTTCAGCTTCTAGGACTATGCAAAGAGCTATGTATTGACGCTTCCCCCACTTCCAAAACCACACAGGTTTCTGAGATTCCAGCAGGAATTGGACCCACATTTAAAAATTGGTATTTTAAATCAGCTTTCAAATTACGATGTTCATCTAATATCACAGTACTGTGCAGATAGAGAGTTTCTAATTAAACTTCCATTTACTGCTTTCATTTTTCAAGTAACAAAAGTAACTATAGAAAAGGCACCTAGAAAAACCTAATGGGAGATACAATTGTTATATTTAAGGGATGAAAAACTAAGGCTAGAAAGTCTAGGGAGAAAGACTAAGACTGATATTAGATTGAGCACTGGAGAGAAAATCCTAAATGAAGAAGAAACAAAGAATTTTGTGTCCCTAAAACCAATTTTGCTAAAGCTGCCTTTATAAAAGGGATCAAGATGAAGTATCACCAGCTCAAAGTATTGCTTAGGTGCATTCTCACCTTGCTCTCCTGGGCAAGACAGTGTACACCAACCTTTCTCAACTTTTTTTTTACTTTGAAGGAACCTATGAAATAATTTTCATGTCTTAAGGAACCTCTGCATAAACATTATAAAATTATACATTTTTGTTATTATTATAAGCCCTCCAGTCAGACCTAGGGAGATGTACTAGAGGTAGCACAATATTTAATTTTATTTATATTGCAATTGTTACTATTTATTTTACTAATAAGAACTGTTTTGTGGATTAAGAGAAAGGCCTTTCTAGACCAGCCTGATCTGCCTGTGAGATCTCCTCCTCTTCTTTGTCCCAGTCCTGCACACAAGAGATAGACCACCTCTTCCTCATAGAGGCTTCACTGATGGTCCTACCATTTCCTCCTTCCACTGATCACTGACTGGGGTATTTCTTCCTACTGCACTTCAGTGGCCAGCACCCATCTGTAAATCCTGGATGGTGTGTATGATTAAAAGGAAAATGTGCAATAAGGGCTGTTGCTAGTCATTCAATGCCAGGCACATAAAATTGCTGCTACACCGCTCCCTACAAGCCTGAGGCAGATGCAATTCACAATCCAAAACCCTTCCCCTGTGGGTGAAGACTCATCCTGGGCCCCCTCCCACCTGCTAGGCAATCAGGGAAAGCAGAAGAGCTCTTCAGTCAGTAATTCATGTGTATTTCTTGTATAAATGCACACAAGTGTGAAAATCTGTACGTGCACATACATAGTCTACTTCCCCATGGTCTCTCTCAGAACCCCAAGGTTCCAGGGAACCCAGGCTGAGAGAGGCTGGGTTACACAGTAAGAATTCTTAAGAGTGCCACTTCCAACTGCAAGAGGAGGCGGAAAAGAAGGGGGAACCCACATTTTAAAAATTCTCCTCAAGATAAGAAATTCCCTGAATGTAGCAAATTTGCCCATCTGGGAGAAGTTGTATTATAGCCTTCCCACTAATATGCTACTTATTTTAGAAACTTCCCAAATTAGCAGTATATACTATGGTTGGGATGAATCCTTTTGGAATCTGTCCCTTCAGAATCTGTAGACTTCCTCTCATGCTTGGCCTAGTCCTACAAAGCAAGCTGAGCCAAGAGGAAAACTGCAATCGCTCATGGATCTGGAACAAGGAGATTGTCATTTGCATACTTTCTTACATATTTCCATTCACTCTGGCTTTGCAGCTTCTACTTTGAACCCGGGCTGTGCAACTGGCAACGTTCCCCAGCTGCCATTCCAGGCAGCAATCTTCTTCCCCACTTGCTGCTGTCAGCAGCAGCAGCAAGCATGGAAAAATGACACTGCTTGTACAGTGCACAGGCCTCAATTTTTGACAAGTGCCTCCTGATTCCTGGATACACTTACCAGGAACTTGGGACTCTGGGCCACTGCAAAGCAGATCAGAGTGTAGGAAGCCAAAACTAGGGAATCCAGCAGATTTTCCACCCCAAATGGATTGCTCATACATCCCTAGTATACACAAATGTGGCTCCCTACCACCCCTTAAAACCCAAGTGGTTTTATTTGGAATTTCAGGTCCTTTGTTAACTCTGCAAGCAAATCCTCACAGGATTTTAGGGGATTTCCATCCTCTGCAGTCCTTGATTGCACAAAGAGTTCTGCACACATCTGATCAATTCAGATCTCCCTAATTAAGACCCTAAAAATAGCTATGTTGTATCAGACCAATAGTCCATCTAACCAAGCATTCTGTTCATACAGTGGCCAAACAGTGATCCACAGAAAAACCACAAGCAAGACCTGAACACAACAGCATCCTCCTGCCCAAGTTCCCTAGCAACTTATCTGCATGGGCATACTGCCTCTAATAATGGAGGCAGCACATAATGACCAGGAGTTTAGGACTAGTAGCCACTGATATCCTTCTTCTTTTAAAGCCATTCACAGCAATCATTACATCCTGTGGACAGTTTACCTATCCAGTGTGTGAACTTTTTTTGTCTGTCCTGAATCTCGCACCAATCAGTTTCATGGGATGACTCTGGATTCTAACATTGCAGCAGAAAAATGTCACTTTGTCTACTTTCCCCACACCATGCATAATTTTGTGCACCTCTATCATTTCTCCCATTACTTTCCTCTTTTCTAAATTGAACAATACAGGTGTTGCAATTTCTCAGTTTTTGTGTCACAGTGGACCTGCTCCAACCCAATGATCATTCTAGTTTCCCCTTTCTGCACTTTTCCAACTCTACAATATTTTTATGTACAATATTGAGGACTACACAGAGTGTGTAAAGCATGGTTGCACCATAGATTTGTGTAAGGACAGCATTATCAATTCCTTTCATAATTATAGCCAACATGGAACTTGCCTTTTTCATAGCCTCCATACTGTGTTGATACTAATATCAAGCTGTCCATCACAACCCCAAGACTGGTTGGTCACTACTAGCTCAGATCCCATCAATTTATACCTGAAGGTTGGATTTTCCTTATAACATGCATCATTTTATGCTTACTTACATTGAACCGTATTTGCCATTTTGATGTCCATTCTCACAGTTTAGAGAGATTCACCTGGAGTTTCTTGCAATCCATTTTTGTCCTAACCACCCTCAACAATTTGTTGTCAACCCACTGAAAGCCAGAATTATGTAACTTAATCCATTTAAAACATAATCTGAGCAATATATACAGTATAATATTGTTGCTCTATCATGCTGGGACTGAACTTCATAACTTTCTTCAAAATACTAGAATCAGGGATCATCTTCAGGACAAGCAAAATGAAGTACACCTTTATGCAGATGTTGATTATCACCAATATACAAGGTTTGAAATGTCTATTAGACAAATTAACAGAGGACGAAGCTATCAGGGCTACTAGCCATGCTACCTCCAGAATCAGCAGTAGCATGCCTAATACCAATGGCTCTTATTACCCATGAGAGACAGGAAGCTAACATAAACCTTCAGTTTGATTTCTCAGGACTGTTCTTGTGTTCCTAGATCCCATACAGATATCACAGCTAGGATCTGTAAGGAACTGGACAGAGGATTGAAAATTAATCCAGAAAAGTAACTGGTAGTTGACTGGTAGAATCACTGAAACTGGTAGAATCACTGACTCTTGCCCAGGTTCACAGAGTGCATTGGACTGAAGCACACTCTGCTTAAAGGTGCCAGCTCATGGCTTGGATGAGTCCTTGGAACAGGTGCTGCCCATTCATGTCAAGAATGTGGTATTCTCTGCTGGTATTTCAACACGAGAGAAACTACCTTTCAAAGAGTTTGGAGAACTAAGATTTTGAAGGTAATTATCTTTTTAGTTGCTCTAGTTATTTGCCCCAAAGCATCTATCTTGTTTTTGCAACTGAATGCAATACAGTGGTACCTCGGCTCAAGAATGCTTCGGTTCACGACCAAATCGGGTCACAAACTAAAATTTCATAAAAATTTTAACTCAGGTTGCGAACTCCGCATTGGGTGGCGACCATGATCGTGCCTGTCTCTGTGCCCGCGTTTGCGCCCGTCTCCCTCCCCCAGCACTCCCCATTCGTGCCCATCTCTCTCTCCCCCAGTGCGCCCCGTTCGCGCCATCCCCCCAGCATGCCGGGATGACGGGTGCATGCAGGGATGAGGGGCGCAATCATGGTTGTGCTGGGGGTGGGGGGAGATGGCTGCGCTCGTGCTCAGGGTGGGGAGATGGCCGTGATCTTTGTTCTTTGTCACTTTGCTTCACATTTTTCTGATGAAAAAATAGTTACAGAACGGATTAACCTTATTTCCACTGAACCTTATGGGGAAATTTAACTTGGCTCACAACCATTTTGGGTCACAACCAGAGTCCTGGAACGGATTAAGTTCATGAGCCAAGGTACCACTGTATGTAATTTGTTGATGAATGGCTTTATGTATCATTTCTATGTGCCGTTATGACTAGCTGTTAAAATTGAGCATGTGCCTTTTCAGTTCAAATCACAGCCTCTCTCAAGTATATTCCATAACACACTAGGCATGCATAGAATCTTCCAGGTCACGGAGGTCCCACTGAAGTGACAGCCCAGTCTGAAAGACCGGGCCATGCCATTTGATTGCAGCTGGGGACACCCATAATGGAAAGGTTTCCATACAAAGCACTCCCTGCATGTACAAAACAACTGTGTCAGGGAGAAGAATTTAATCTTCTATGTGCATTTAGTATTTGTGTATAGAAATACATTTATTTAGTTCATTTCTATACCATACCTAAGTCAAAGCTCTCTGGGCAGCTGACACATTCTATCATACAAGTCCCTACGTACAGCTTGGCACAGTATAGCCCAGAAACAGCTCTATCTTTCAAGTGAGAACTGTGCTATAGTCTCCATTTAAAGCAGCCCCAACACTTATTTACATTTATGTTCAGACTTCTTCCTGCCCCACTCTGCATAGCAGATTATGCTGACAAAAGATTAATGGACACTACCACAAGACAGGATTAAAAAACATGTCTGAACTGATCATTACTGCTAGGGAAGGCCATATGGCTGTCTGTTTCCTGCTTAATAATCAACATTCAAGCTATCTTACATGTGAACTGTTTCAAAACACCAATCTGAAAAAAATAAGCACATAGTTTTGTCCAGATATCTAAATTAAGTAATGCATCAGCAGAGTATTAATACATCAGCAAATTACTTGCACTGTAAATTATTTTGCTATGTATTTTCCAGTAGCAACCTACCTTAAAATGCTTTTTTCAAGTTTACTAAGCATTCATATGAAATACTTTGAAGACTAAAAAAAGGCACTATGTAAATGTGAAGCATGGCTTTTTTATTTTTTACAAAAATAAGTACTTGTTGCTTCTCTAATTCATTCACCATAGCTTCTAAAGATTTTAAGCTTCTTGGATAAGGTCTAACTTTCTCCTTATGCTGAAGAGTTTAACAGACACTGATGGTGCAGTAACAAATGGAGAACATTACAAAAGATTATCCTGACAACATTATGGCCACAAACATACAGATTAATTATAATAAATTTAAAATTTTGCTCCATGTTATTAGAACAGTGGCACTGTTAAAGGATTCTTAGACAGGCATTCAAATAAGTATGAAGAGACAAACCTGTTACAGCTGTTACAGTGTACTTTATCCAACATTAATGCAAATGCCATTCAAAATTACTTGATTTTTTGCGAAGAAAAGCTTTGATTTCCTAACTTCAGAAGTTTCATTGATATAAACATTACCTGTCATGTGAAATCTTATACTAGTCAAAGTGTCATGTTTGCCTGCCTTACAAACACCAACTGTTTTAAGTGTTCAATAAGAGTCCAAATTCTCTCACAATTTACTTACTCTTAGGGTCACCACTCTTGCTTTAGGATTACGAATAGATGGGCCTGCTGAGATGTAGTCTACTGTGTCAACTTCAATGGGGAAGTGCTGTACACACTTCTCATCGTTATCCAGGAGAACTGGCCACTCCGTGCAGAACTCTGCAGTTAAAAAACTGGCATAAGATCACAGATATCATTCTAGCCATTACAACTGCTACTCAAAGCAAGTTAGCTAAGAAAGCTATATTTATCAAAGCCAACTTCAGACCTTTCCATATAGTAGAGATGAATACAATATAGGAATATGCCCATTGTTTAGAGACACACAAATACAGTGAAAAGTTATGTATGATGGGAGGAAGACTCCTCCACCTCTGCTTACACTTCTCCAACTCTGCCAACTATGTACAATATGTACGTACATATGTACAACGGCCAGAACTATGTGGTTGCAGCCATAGATTTGTGTAAGGGCAGCATGATCCTGGCAATTTTATTTTCAGTTCCTTTCCTAATTATGCCCAACATGGAATTTGCTTTTTCATAGCCTCCACCCACTGGGTTGATATTAACATCAAGTGGTCTACTACAACCTCAAGATTGGTTAGTAACTGCTAGCTCAGATCCCCTCAGCTTATATTTGAAGGTTTTTCTCCAACATGCATTACTTCACACTTGGATTTCCTCCATTCATTTGGTTTTAACCACTCTAAATAGTTTGGTGTCATCAGCAAACTTGACCACTTCACTACTCATGCCAGCTTCCAGATCATTTATTAAGAAGCTGAAAAGCTTTGTTCCTATTTCAGATCCCGGTGAGACACAACTGTTTATACCCCCTTCCTTGGGAGAATTTATAGTTTATTCCTACTCTATCCTTTTATGTTATCAGCTACTGATTCAGTTTGTAATCAGAAACCCTACATCATTATATGAAATCTAAGCACCCAGTGCATGAAACTGGTAGAGGCACTGCTGTTTCTTCCCATGTGGAACAAATACCAGACCTATACTGCCTTTTTTTTCCTTTCAAGGAACTCAAAGGAGCTTAAATAATTGTTCTCATCCTCTCAGTCTTATCCTCACAACAGCAACACTGTGAATTAGGTTGGGCTGCAGGTCTGTTGTTGGCCCATAGTCATCCAGTTAGCTCCATGGCTTAGTGGGAACTAGTACCCAGACCACCTCAGTTTCAGTCCTTTACTCCTAACCACTATACCACACTGGGTTGCCCAAAGCTGCTGAGGTGAAACTGAAGTGAAATCCAGACAACTTGTTCACAGATGCAATTAGCTAGCAAAGACAGAACTTGATACTTCTTACTTAAATCAGTTGACAACTAGCCATATGTAGTCCCTATTAAATTTTCAAGGTTTCCTTACATTTGTGTGTCATACATTTACATATTTCTGTATTTACTGTACACAAAATAGTTCACTATTATTGCCTTTATCTATACTTTTATAATTTTTGCATCACTTATTTTTGATACTTACCTTTAAGAGCAGCACAGTGCTTCTTGATGGCAATTGGTGTCAGATGCAAGAAATTGGGGATCTGAAATAGTTGCATTTTATTAAATTTTGCCAGTACATAATGTAGATATCTAAAGGACAACAAAATAGTCATTGAGTATTTTTAAGCAGCCTTGCTAGTAAAACATTTAGTAGCCCATAAGCAAGACGTGTCTTTATCATCCTTGGGTCATGTGGGCAGAATCCTAATGCTTTATGTTTTTAATTCAGAACATTTAATACTCCAATATCCATCCAAGGAACTCAGAATGGAACACATTCTACTACCTACCAGTTTGCATCTTCACAGCAACCTGATTAATTGATCTTAGTCAGAAGACACAAGGAAAGAGATGAGGAAGGAGGTTCTGAGGATTGATTCAGCTACCTAGCTGGGTGAGAATATACCTAATATGGAACCAATTGTTCCCAGTTTACTATCAGCTGGACTGTTCCCCTTCTCTCCCCCTTCTTCTCCTGAGCTCAAACATAATATGCAAAACATGTAAAGAACAGCAGACTATTATATCTTATTACACCTGCATCAATAGCCAGCGACTGTGTTTAGTAAGAGACCATGAAACTGTCTTTAAGTTAGCAGCATGTAGCTTTACCTTTAAAAGTTCCAGGTTGCCTTCCTTTCCTGGTGGTACACCTCTTTTTACTGGGTAGCCCATCCGAATTGGGAGGGGCACAGTGGAAGGTTTGAAAGCAGCTGCAGCTGGGTAGACACTGGTCCAGTCCTGATCAACCTCCATCTTTTCAGTCCTGGGAATTCCCTGGGAAACGAGTAAAGGAAAATCATGTTCTAAAATGTGCAACATTTTACGTAATATTCATTACATAATAGTGGTTCCATGCAGGTCGACTGTGAGTGACAGATGATCTGACATAATCCCCTACCCCAATGGCACATGTGTTTCTGACTTAGATTGGGGTAATCCTTGTTCAAATCCCTGCTCAGCCATGAAGGTCAAAGCATGGCATTGGACTAAGTCATGTCTAAGCCTAGCCAGCTTTCAAGGACATTAAATATATTCTTTTTGAGAGGTATCAGTTGACCATAGCCTTATATAAACTAGAACAGCCTTCAGCTGTTTTCTGAAAGGCTTTTTCTGTACTATTCTATGGATTATTTTGTGATTTTGGTACACAGCACATAGCTCACAGTCATGCCATATACTCACCAAAAGAGCATGTCACAATCAGGACAATACTTTGCTGGAATCCTGATCTTTGAAACCTTTGCTATAGTATAATTGGCTTCAGTACCAGGATAATATATATAAACACAGCAAGTCAGAAGGGGTCTCAAGCCATCTAGTCTGATCTGCAGCTCCAGCCAGCTTTGCTCATGTAATTCCCAGCATGTGCTTGTCATATACGGATATATTCAACTGTTGTTCCCATTACTGTGGGAACTATTGTGGATAAGCTATGGTATGATTGTGTACTTGGAAATATTGCATTGGTACATTCACCACTGTTAATTGGAATCCACATCTGTGCACAATAGCACCACAGATTTATACCTGTTTCCAAGTAGGTAACTGCTAATACTACCCCACAAATGAAACTTGAGAAATTATAGTTCTGAGAATGTTCTTTGGAATTCTCTGAACTTTTGCATTAGTTTAATTGGCAGGATTCACTGTTTGGGCACTATAACAATTAAATGAATTGGAAGCGGATTTGAATTTACAGGTGGGTGCACTCTAATAGAATAAATCATTATAAACTTAATTATGCAACCAACATACAGCTTAAGTGTTTACCTCTCTCCAGGTTCTTTCATGAGGAAAGGACCTTCCCCCTCGTACTGTTGCACCTATATTTTAAAAGCACATTTCAGTACAATATCGATGTAATATTGCTACACATATGCACATTTTCTCAAAGAAAAAAGAATGAACTCTAAAATCCCATTTTGTAGTTAAGACTTAAATCATCTGCACCACTGAAAAGAACCATTACCATCAACAGGCAAATGCTACCTCTTGACAACATACGAAGAGCTACCCTGCACATTCATGCTATCACCAGTACTATCAGTTACAGCTAAAGACATGGAAAGTATACAGAAAATATACTTATAGGGATTTGGCCAAGGCATTTCTAAATTAGGTATACAGAGTTTTCCTTTATTTCATAGAATGAATGTCGACTAAGGATTACATTCCCCAAACAATTCCAGGTTCCATTCTTAACATCAGGGCCAATTCCCCAAGGACAAGTAAAGCAAAGTCTCCAGGTACATGCAGAGTGTCTTTACCTCTCTACAGTATCTGGTCAGAGTATTAAGAATTCCACGGGGATATAGGACCAATACTCCCTTATTATAATTTACAAAATTTCATACAAGAAGTGATCGAGTGCACAGTGATGCACAATGATGTGTCAGATGTAATTAACAAATGATACCTACTGTACTAATTTTATAATGCTGACTAAATGGAACCTTCATGATTTGAGGATTCTTTTTCTTACTCTTCCTCCATGAAACTGATTCCTGTTTCACAGAATCGTATTATGATAGTACGATGTTTAGTTGGAAGGGAGCAAGAAGGCCATCGGGTCCAACCCCCTGCTCAGTGCAGGATGCTGAATTAAATCATCCCTCTCAGATGGCTATCCAGTTGCATCTTGAATGCCTCTAGTGTGGGAGAGCCCACAATGTCCCTAAGTGACAGGTTCCATTGTCATACTGCTCTAACCATCAGGAAGTTTTTCCTGATGTTCAGCCAGAACATGGCTTCCTGTAACTCGATCCCATTATGCCCATGTCCTGCTTGGTAAGTCTCAGTTACCACCTTATTTCTTCCCTTTATACATATTTTAAGTTTGAAGACAAGGTCCTGCCTCTAAAAAAAATAGCAACGACATAAAAAGGCATAATAAGGCTTAAGAATTTAAGCTGCAATCCTACATATTTATTTGAAAGCAATTCACACTGAACTCCTTTTCTGTATTTTTTATAATACCAAAAGGAGGAGTTGCCATTTCCGTTTGTGGTTCAGGGCAGAAATAGTTTAATTCTATATACATTTACTTGAAGTACACATTTATTCTTTTTTAAATGTGGACTGGAACACAATAAAGGTTGAAATTAAATTGTTGTTGTTGTTGTGAGCCGCGAAGTCATGTCCGACCCATTGCGACCCCATGGAAAACATTCATCCAGGCCTTCCTGCCCTCCACCATCCCCCGGAGTCCACTCAAGCTCACACCAACTGCTTCAGTGACTCCATCTAACCACCTCATTCTCTGCCATCCCCTTCTTCTTTTGCCATCTATTGTTCCCAACATTAGACTCTTCCCCAGGGAGTCCTTCCCTCTCATTAGGTGGCCAAAGTATTTGAGTTTCATCTTCAGTATCTGGTCTTCTAAAGATCAGTCAGGGTTGATCTCCTCTAGGACTGACCGGTTTGATCACCTTGCTGTCCAAGGTACTCGCAGGACTCTCCGCCAGCACCTCAATTCTTCAGCACTCAGCCTTCCTTATGGTCCAGCTTTCACAGCCATACATTGTAACTGGGAAAACCACAGCCTTGACTATAAGCACTTTTGTTGGCAGGGTTATGTCTCTGCTTTTTAGTATGCTATCTAGATTTGCCATAGCTTTCCTCCCCAGCAGCAAGCGTCTTGTAATTTCTTGGCTACAGTCCCCGTCTGCAGTGATCTTGGAGCCCAGGAAGTGAGAGGACCGGATGCCATAATCTTAGTTTTCTTAATGTTGAGTTTCAAGCCAACTTTTGTGCTCTCCTCCTTCACCCGCATCAAAAGGCTCTTTAGTTCCTCTTCACTTTCTGCCATGAGAGTGGTATCATCTGCATATTTAAGGTTGTTGGTATTTCTCCCAGCAATCTTAATTCCAACTGGTGATTCATCTAGCCCTGCCTTTCTCATGATGTGCTCTGCATATAAGTTAAATATGCAGGGCGACAGTATATAGCCTTGCCGAACTCCTTTCTCAATTTTGAACCAATCAGTCATTCCGTGTCCGGTTCTCACTGTTGCTTCTTGAGCTGCTTATAGGTTTCTCAAGAGGCAAATAAGATGGTCTGGTACTCCCATCTCTTTAAGAACTTGCCACAATTTGTTGTGATCCACACAATCAAAGGCTTTAGCATAGTCAATGAAGCAGAAGTAGATGTTTTTCTGGAACTCTCTAGCCTTCTCCATGATCCAGCGTATGTTGGCAATTTGAACTCTAGTTCCTCCCCCTCTTCAAAACCCTGCCTGTACTTCTGGTAGTTCTCGGTCCACATACTGCTGGAGCCTAGCTTGTAGGATTTTGCGCATAACTTTGCTAGCATGTGAAATGAGTGTTTGAACATTCTTTGGCATTGCCCTTATTTGGGATTGGAATGTAAACTGACCTGTTCCAATCCTGTGGCCACTGTTGAGTTTTCCAAATTTGCTGGCATATTGAGTGTAGCACTTTTACTAGATCGTCTTTTAAGATTTTGAATAGCTCAGCTGGAATACTGTCACCTCCACTAGCTTTGTTGTTGCTCAGACTTCCTAAGGCCCATTTGACTTCACATTCCAGGATGTCTGGCTCAAGGTCAGTGACCACCCCATCATGGTTATCAAGGATGGTTTTAGTTGTTACCTCTTGTACAGTGTTGCAAACCTCCATCCATAGTTCTTCAGGCACTCTATCAGGTCTAATTTCTTAAATCTATTTGTCACCTCTACTGTATATTCATCAGGGATATGATTTAGGTCATACCTGCATGGCCTAGTGCTTTTCCCTACTTTCTTCAATTTAAGCCTAAATTTTGCAACAAGAAGCTCATGATCTGAGCCACAGTCAGCTCATGGTCTTGTGTTTACTGACTGTATAGCGCTTCTCTATCTTTGGCTGCAGAGCACATAGTCAATCTGATTTCTGTGTTGACCGTCTGGTGATGTCCATGTGTAGAGTCGTATCTTGGGTTGTTGGAAAAGAGTGTTTGCTATGACCATCATATTCTCTTGACAAAATTCCACCACCCTGTGCCTTGCTTCATTTTGTACTCCAAGGCCAAACTTGCCTGTTATTCCAGTTAACTTCTGGCTTCCTACTCTAGCATTCCAATCCCCCATGATGATAAGGACATCATTTTTTGGTGTTCATTCTAGAAGGTAGTATACCTTATGATCATCTGAATTAAATTCACCCATTCCCGTCCATTTTAGTTCACTGATTCCTAAGATGTCGATGTTCAGTCTTGTCATCACTTGTTTGACCACATCCAGCTTGCCTTGATTCATGGCTCTTACATTCCAGGTCCCCATGGAGTATAGATCTTTACAGCATCAGACTCTCCTTTCACCACCAGATATATCTGCAATTGAGTGTCCTTTCAGCTTTGACCCAGTCGCTACATTCTTTCTGGTGCTACTAGTACTAGGCCCCCACTCTTCCCCAGTAGCATATTGGACACCTTCCCACCTGAGGGGCTCATCTTCCGGCGTCATATCTTTTTGCCTTTTGGTACTGGCCATGGGGTTTTCATGGCAAAGATACTGGGGTGGGTTGCCATTTCCTTCTCCAGTGGATCACATTTTGTCAGATCTCTCTGCTATGACCTGTCCATCTTGGGTGGCCCTGCACGGCATAGCTCATAACTTCATTGAGCTATGCAAGCCCCTTTGCCATGACAAGGCAGTGATCCATGAAGGATGAAATTAAATTATACACAGGTAAAGCAAGCCCCATTCATTTCAATGGCTTGTTTTATGAAAACTTCCTAAAACATATACTAAAACAAGCAGGATTTACCACTACCTGAGCAGTAACAGAATTGTGCTGCATGGCAAACTAAGGTAGGAGTAAGGCCCATTGGTTGAGCTATTCTAAACACGCTGATGTGAATGTAGACTCCACGCTTCTCTGATGGATCTTTCCTCCACGCCAGCATATACAGGCTAGACTGTAGCCTGATCTAAGCCATAATGTAGCAACAATAATAATGAAGATGAGGTTTCATTACATATGACTTCAATCCTAGTCACACTAAAACTGTGGTCCAGTGAAAACGAGACCTGTGAAACCCAGCGGGACTTCCTTCAGTCCGTGTAAGGCAACACTCGCTCGCGCTATCCTATCGATACTTACTCCATGGTACTTACAACTCTGTTATCTCATCCCGTACCTTTGTTTCGGCCATCGCTCACTGTCCCCGCAATCGAGTAATACGCTGCGCCCAGGCTTCGCCAAGGAAACCCTCGCAACTGTTGCAACGCACTGAGAACACACCTGCACCCACTGGCGGTCGCCATGTTCGCAGCGTCGCAGAACAGTGACGCCACCGCATGCCTGATTCAGAGGACCCGGAAAAGAGCCGAGCGTCTCTCGTCGCCTGTCGTGCCGCAATCGTGAACGGCGCATGCGTCGGCATCTTCCATTCGTCCGGAGTAGCTTTCCCCACCAGCCTTTCTAAAGTTTTACACTGCTACACGGAGTCCCAGACCAATAGCCACAAATGAGACAGAGAAACAAGAATGCAGAGCAGCCAGAATATGTAACAGAATACCACCAGACGAATATGTAAGTTATTTAGGTCGCAAATCTAATGCACGTTCAGGTGTACAACCCCCAGAATGTCCCAGCAAGACATGCTTTTTAGCTTTATACTTCAGTTTGGGAATGCTTTAAACTTTTACTTTCTCAAGATGGTTTTTTTTTCTGAACTTGGAATTTATTTGGAACTTGGAAAATGAGACTTGAAATCATTTCCAGAAACTTGATTAACCTTTTAAAATCCAAACTGAAATCAACCACTTCAGCACCATTATGTTTTAGATTCTAGAACTGAAGAAAAACAGATTTGAGATCTAACAATAAGTCCCCAAAATATTTTTATTTAGACCATTTAAAGCACAATCTTATGGGAAAAGGTCCTACAGTTCCCAGCATGCATGGTTCAGTTCAGCATTGTTTTATTTATTTACATTTATAAACTGCTCCTTCAAGGCTCTGTGGGCAGTATACACTCCTATTATAAAACAATAAAATTTATATGATAAAAGACCATATGATAAACATTCATAAAGTAAAATACAATAAAATATATTACATGCTTACAGATAACTGTAACAGTCAACAAAATTACCTCAGGTTCAGCAGTTATTAAAAAATAAAATGCCTTAAAATATAAAATATTATTTCAGCAGTTCTTAAAATGTCTGCTGAATAAAAATGCCTTTGCCTGACACAGAAAAGAAAACAAGGAAGGGGCCAGGTACACTACTCTGGGGAACATATTCCATAGATGGTGTGCAACTATGGAAAAGGCCCCTCTTCTGTTTGCCCCCCCCACCTCTTTAGGGGTTGGTTCCCTAAGAAGGACATATGTAGCTGATCTTAGTGGTTGGGTAGGAACATAGGGGAGTAGGTGTTCCTTCAGGTATCTTGGTGGTCCCAAGCCATTTGGGGCTTTATATGTCAAAACAACCACTTTAAATTTAGCCCTCGCTTCAATTGATAGCCAATGTAATTGGTAAAGCATTGGTGTAACATGGGCATGTGAGCCAGTTCTTGTCCAAAAACGTGCTGCCATATTCTGAACCAGCTGCAATTTCTGGACCATCTTCAAAGGCAGCCCCATACAGAGCACATTAGAAGAATCCAGCTGTGCCTGTCCAAGTAAGGCCACAGCTGATAAATCACCTGGAGCTGAAGGATGGTGCTCCTGGCCACCTATTTCACCTGAGACTTGAGTGATAAGGTTTGGGTCCAGGAGCACCTGCAAACTACAGACCCTGTCCTTTAGGAGGAGTGTGACCCCATCCAGGATAGGTTGAAATACTCCCAACTGGACAGAAGATCTGCTCACCAATAGTACCTCCAATCTTATCCAGACTGAGTCTTAGTTTATTGGCCCTCATCCAGTTCATTACCACAAAGCCTCCAACTCCCAATCCAGCCAGCCTGTCCAGAAGGACACCATGGTTGAAAGGTCCAGGAGAATCAACAGGGTTGCACTCCCCCATCTCTTGCCTGGCAAAGGCCTTCTTACAGGGCAACCAAAGCAGTCTCCATTCCAAATCCAGGCCTAAAGTCAAACTGAAATGGATCTAGGTAATCCTTCTCATCTAAGAGTGCTTGGAGCTGCCTGGCCACCACTTGTTCAAATACTTGCCCAAGAAAATTAAAATGCAAGTGGATTGTAGAAAGCTCCTGAAGAGGATTCATATTAATCAAACAATCCTAGCTCCATTTGCTGTCTTGTTTGCTACATTTCTAGTGCTAACTTGCTGGCTACAATCCTTAAATCTTAAATGTATCTTTCATGATTAATAATGTAATCACAAACAGCTTCCAAATAATGTTCATGTAACTACCATGCTAATTGTCTTAATTTTTAAAGTGTTCTTAAATAAAGTGTTTAATGCATTTCAATTTACTTTGGAGTCTGTGTTGGTGTTTGCTTGTTAAGACTTGGCTTGGTTACTCAATGGAGTGTCCCAAACCCTGTTGTTGTAGATTCTGAACAGCACCAAATCAACAGAGATGGGAATATTGTTGTTTGCTACTTGCATAGTTCTTTAAAGTGCTGTTTCCTGAAAGCTCCACCTTCCACAATAATAGGAGGCTACAGAAGAGCAAGTTGTCTGTGTTCCCTATCCTTCAATATAGCACCAGATCTCCCCATATAAGTCTACTTTGAACCCGTGTTGGGTGCCAATGATATCAATGGTACAAAACTTTGGGTATAACATTGAATTGCAGAGGTGGCAAAAGTTGTGGGAAAGAAATGTTAAGATAACTTTGGCAACTTCTTATAAAGAAAACCTGTATAAAATGTTTTATAGATGGTATTTATCACGGAACAGATTAGCTAAAATGTTTCCGAATATGTCAAATAAGTGTTGGAAATGTAAACAGAAACCTGATACATTTTATCATATGTGGTGAACTTGTGACAAAGCAAAAAAAAAAAAAAATACTGAGTTAAAATACATAGATGGCTTGGGGAAATGTTGCAAAGACCTGTAATGTTTAAACCTGAAATATATCTGTTAGGCATTCTCCCCTATAGTCTTGATAAACAAAATATATATTTGACTTTGCATGTAATAACAGTGGTGAGGATCACATATGCACAGTGTTGGAGAAATGAAGAGCTACTGGCTGAATATTTGATCTTGAACAAGATACTGGACTGTGCAGAAATGGATGGACTGACTTTATCTCTTAAGGAAAAAGAAGATACAGTTTACTACCAAACATGGGACTTTTTCTATCAATGGCTACAGAATTGGAATTTTAATTCGGGCTGAAATACATAGCAATTGTAGGGAGAAATAAGGCTTTGTACACAGGATGTTTGAGTCTTTGGAATAATTATTTGTTTAGTGAGTAGAAAACACTAAAACTTTGAAAACCAAGATAAGTCTGTTTCGAAAAGGGCAGAATTGGTTGAGTATGTGTGTAAATAACTACTATCCAGTTTTTTTCTAGTCAGAGGTACTGTCTACACTGAAATTGTAAATGACTCCTATTAACATTGGAAAAGCTGATTCATACGATATGATTAATATCAGGTCTATACTTGAGATGTTTTAACTGTAAGAACAAACAATAAACAGATGCATCACAGACATTTTAGAAATCTTTTAATTTTAGTCTTTTTATATTAAAAATAGGGTGAATAAATTTTGTCCCCAAACCAAGCCTGAAATGAGATTAAATCCTTCAAGAACACTAATATCCTCCATTGCCCTCTTAAGCACCTTGACCAAAAAAGGTGACAGGGCAGTAGTTGTTAAAAACTTCTGATTCCAAGAAAGGCTTTGCATGAATGGGTGCACCACCACTTGCTTCAAGATGGTGGGTATCACTTCATTATGCAAAGTCACATTCACCATCTCCTGAATACACTCAACAGCCCCCTCCTGGCCATCTCAAATAAGCCAAAATAGCACTGGTTGAGAGACAGTAGGAGGTAGACTGAGCTGCAACATGTGTCTTCTCTACATCCTCAGACCTCAAAACTAAAACTGATCCCATATAGCTGGATGCATAGGACTCCTCACCAAACATTGTACTACAAGAAGTGTTCATGTTGGCATGAAGCTGAGAAAGCTAATCCTCAAATTGGCTCAAAATTATCACATCAGGCGTTTAATGGTTTCAGCATAGGATTTACTGGGCAGGACAGCAACAAACCCTGAACCACCTGTAAAAGTTCTGCTTGGCAGCTAGTTGAGGACAAAACAAACATGCCACACAGTCAGCATGATTATGTGTTCTTATGCATGTCCAGTCACCCTCACAACAAGTCTTATGCCACTTAGGACATAAGCCATCTCTTAATGTTTCATCGAGGAGAGCTCACCAGAGAACATCTTTGGCTACAAAGATAGAGCACTCAGGAGTGATCTTTTCAACTGCCTGTTGTATCTCACAATTCTATACTATGACTAGAACATTAAGAGGGTGCAGGCTTTGGCCACTGGAAATTCCTCCATGCGTTTAGTAATCAGCTGCATTCTGTAAGAGCCTGGGGGCTGATCTTAATGGGTCCCTCATTACAGTAGGGAGACTGGCACTGTAAGCCCAAACATCACCAGATAATGCTCTAACAATGAAAGAAGAAATCCCCTGCCCTTCCCATATTCAGACCACCTTTCACCTCCAGAGCAAAAGACTAAATTGAGACTATGCCCTGCTCTGTGTATGCATTGGGCACTGACCCAAAGACAAATTGATAACCATGGATATCATAGAGGCCCTGATGTCCTGAGTCTTCAAGGTACAGTCAAGGCCTTTTCAACGTGAATGCTGACGTCTCCCAAGAACACTGTCCTGGGGTTCCCTAGTACCATGTGCAAGACCATCCTGGCTACATACACATTTGTAAGGGAGCTAGGAATTTCTGTAGAAGATGAGCTTTACTTTGTATAGTGTATTGTCCCATGCATCCTAGTTCTTTGAGAATTGTGAAGCTTCAGGAGTGTAGGGCTTACCCAGATTTGTTTCCTTTAAAAGGAGGTCATTGGATGCCTATTGGTATTTGTAATACTGGGTTCATTTATAAATATGTAGGCCTGCTAATGAGTCATTATTTGACAACAAATTTTTGGTTATGAGAAAACCAATAAGATGAGCCATGCTGAATCAGGCCAATGGTCCATCCAGCTTAGCTGGCCAAGGGTCTCACAAGCAAGATATGAGCAAGAACAACCTCCTTCCCAGTAACTGCTGTACTGCTTGGATCAGAGGTAAGGGCATTATTTAGGTAGGGAGTGTTGCTTCTGTTTCTCTGAAGTTCTGTTTGGTTTCTGAGAAGA